TAAGAGCTACACCGAACAGCTTGGTTAAAGGTTAGAGGCCAGCCGAATTCAGTTTCTTGGTCCTCCAGGTTGGGGGTTTGAAATGACATGGCGTCCGTTTCTGTAAAACCGAATCATTGCTACATCCTCTGCTTTGTAGACAGGCTTTTGAGCCAGAGGCTTTGATTGAGCACCCTAATTGTTCTCCTGTCTATGTCTGTGTGCCCTAGCAGTTTCTCAGTCCACGTACAACCATGACTACTTCTTCAAACTTCAGCCATATCCTGCATCGGCCGGCTGGTAGCTCAGCTGGCATGCAATTGTTGTATTTATTTTCCTTTTCCTTTATGCATTGCGGCACAGTAGCTGAGGTGTTTCCCACTAGCTGACGTGTAGAATGATGATGATGATGCATCGGCCGTCGCACAGCTTATCAAGTGTTGCCTTATCTACTGCATACAACATGTCAGATAAGCGGAAACATGCTACTGCTGGCGCCTCCTTTATTTCCCATCCATCTTACTCCCTTCCCAGCCCCCACTCTCAGCCTTCCTTCTGTAATTCCCACTTTACTTGACAGCAAGCGCAATGTCATTGGAGTCATATCATCTGCATGTGTGTTCCCGCACCACCCACTACACACTGATCGCCAATATCTCTTTATACGGCTACACTGTCCCGTTTCTCTGGTGGTGTTCGACGTTCGCACTCTAAGACAAATAGGTCAACAGGCTACACTCGAACACACGTTAGGCACGCTGGGTATTGGAATGTGTGTCGTATATTGGGAAACTAGGATCAATGAGCCTCATGTGGTTGTCAAATTAGCTGCACCCTGCTTGTACTATCGTTATTGGTTGCACACATCCGGAGACGTTGATGCGTCAACCACTGGTGAAGCTGGAGTTGGCATTCTTCACAACTCTAAGGCAGAGTCTTCGTTGGTTTCTTGGATTCCCGTGAACAACCGTTTGTTTGCAGTCCGTTTGACATCAAGTAAGGTTGATTCTCGAAGTAGCGCTAGACGCTGTTTGTTTGTGGTTCCCGCTTATGCTTCCGCCGATTGCAGCTCTGATGCTGACAAGGACACATCCTACCACGAACTGAACATGTTACCACGCAGTCTTGCTGGTCCACTTAGTACTTGCAGGAAATACGAAGGCGTAAGTATGTCGTCTGAGGTCTTCAAAGTTTTGTTATGTTGTAAATACGAACTTAACTCCGAACGAACGGACAACGACGAGCGTCCGTTACAGCTGTGTGCGGAGCACCAGTTGTTTCTTAGTAGCGCCACTTTTAGACAGTGGGCACCGAAGTGCTACTTGGTGTCCTCCTGTATCTGGCCTGTGATGGACCCAAATTGATCACGTTGCCACAAGTTACAGGTGGCGTGGTTCCATCCTGGTTTGTCGCTCGTTCTGGAGTATTTGCGTCGACGCTGATCATGCCTTGGTACGCTGTCGTTTTTCCATGAACTTTACTGGGAGGCGTATCAAGCACCTCCCTCGATTGGGAACTGAAAAGTTATCTCAGCACTCGGTCAGGCAAGCCTACCAGGATGTATTGCGTACCGAACTTTCGCTCCGTTGTCCTAATGACACTGAGTTTCATTGGAATAGAATCTCGGTCGCCATGTACGAAGAACGAGCCCCTCATTGTGGCACTGTCAATCGTCACGTCACCAGTCACTGGATATCCGAGAAGTCGGTGAACGTGTTGGAATCCAGAAGAAACCTTCCGGCTGGCTCTTAGCACAATGTTACCAGGCGGACTACTGGGCGGGAACTAAAGCGCAGCCTGCGTGTTGACAAGGAACCTTGGTGGACCAGTCGGTCTCAAGAAATGAGGGAAGCAGAAGCAGTAAGCAAGTATTGCAAGCTCTTCCAGCTGATCCGCACCTCAGGTCCCAGAAAATCAGGCGTCAACAAGATAATCAGAGACATAGCTGGTGCCATGATTCACAATAAGGAACGCCATATGGCTTGTTGGGTGGAGCACTTTCGAGATCAGTTTAGTTGTCCCCCTTCTTCTGAACTTCTTCCTACTCAGGTGTTGCAGGTTGAGCCATGACCAGTTGGTTTAGAGAAGCCGTCGGATGCCGAGGTCCGAAACGCAAACGCAGCCTTTAGTGGTTTTCGTGCTGCTGGCCCGGATTCCCTTCCATCTGCACTATTTAAGGGTGGAGGTGAGGTCCTCTCCAAACTACTGACCTCCCTGTACGAACAGGTCTGGAAAGCAGAGGCCATCCTAGCTAACTGGAGCGAATCGATGATGATGGTAATATACAAGAAGAACAGTCGCACCGACTGTGCTAATCATAGGAGTATTAGCCTACCGCCGGTGGTGACAAAATTGTTGCCTTCAATTCTCGTTCGTCCCCTCACTGTGGAGTGAGTTTCATGGATTAGGGAAGGGCAGGTAAATATTCACTCTGCGGCAGGGTTAGAGCAGCGCCGCGTGTACCGCAGGCCAACAATATCTGTTTTCCTAGACTTCAACAGTGCGTTCAACTCAGTCGACCAATGCGTTCTGTTCGAAATACTTGCGCGGAAAGGTGTTTCCATGAAATATGTGAACATTTTACGTGCTCTTCACTCGAACACTACAGACCGTGTCAGGGTCTACAGTGATTTGTCGGATGTGTTTCCGACAAGTGGCGTTCGTCAGGGTTGTCCAATTTCCCCATTCTGTTCAACTTCGTCGTGGCCTGCATCATGGGGTGTTCCCTTGCGGAGCCTCGGGATGCAGGCGTTGAGGTGCTGCCTTGTGAAAAGCTAGTTGATGTTGGTTATGCGGACGATATTGTCCTGATGTTTACCAATGTTGACGCGGCACAGTCAACCTTGAATAATATTTCCAGTCTGATCTCATTATTATGCATACGCTTTGTTTTGGCAGATGTAGGTGGGCAAAAATTAACTTGACAGCGGAAAATGAACTCACTGACGACCACATTCTGTGTCGTCGTTTTGTCTCGCCTTCCATGCTGGGGTCCACGCGAACCTTGTGCTTGACTCGAGACTTTACAGGACATGGCTCGCAACCGACACCGGTGACGCATCTGCTGTCGTCTCCTAGTCTGACTGCCTGTTTAAAGTGTGTTTGGTGCTGAGTTATCTGCGGGGCAATGGCTGATTATAACGCGGGGCACTGAAAACCGCAAGGAAGCTGTCTCGCCGATGCCGCCTCATCTTTGCACTATAGTCACCTGTTTGTGATGACATGTTGTTGACGAGGAGTAGGCTCCTTGACTGTGAATGTTTGTTTAGGAAATCAAGGTTTTACGATAGGTCTAACTTCACTTTTTCTCTCCCCCCCACCTTAGGTCCCCGTAGCTGTGCGGCAGCGAAGCATCAGTTTAAGTGGCTGGTGTACTGCTGTTGATGATGAGTATTATTATACGCCGTCGCTGCAGAAGGTTGGTCGAAATGGCGATCTGGCCAGTCGATTGCGTGTCTTAAATGCATGAATAACTGACCGAGAGAATTGTTCAGACTGCTATTCGACATCATAGCCTTTGGTGTCTCATGGGAGCGCCTGTTGAACTCGCTGCCGGCGCTGGTTGTCTCATGTCCTTTGACTCCTGTTAACCGTCATTTTCGCCGTGCTCTGTTCGCTGCTGTTCTCGGGTACGTGAAATCCCAGAATCTCAACAGGCATAACGAAACCACGCAAGGAGCTGGATCAGGCCGAGATCGAGCAGGAGCTGTTAGATGTCCAAATGGGAAACTGAGTACTTGAACTTCATCATACATAAGTGGCATTATGTTGTTTGCATCTTCTAGCCACTGGTATGATTACTTCCGCACTTTTGAACGGACGGCACGTATCAGCGCGAACCGTATCTTTGGTCATCCTATCCACTCACCTTAGCCGATTCGTTGTGTAGTCACATTGGTGCCTCACTCGGTCGAACGCCTCCTCGACAGCAAACTCATTCAGGAACCCAACAGTTCATATACAGCGCTTCACAGCATCTACCTCTCGCCTCTCCAAATTGCTTCATGCTTATACAAACCGACCTCTTTCCCTTCCCAACCGCGACTTGTTTTTAATCCATCCGGGTTAGACTTGAAATGCTTTTAGAAAATTTTCGCTACTGATGACTTCCGAACACCTGCTTCCAGCGTACCCACTACTCCTTTGTAACATTCGTGGGAGGACACCAAAAGACCATCGCAGGATCATCCGTCCAAAGCCTATTTGTCTGCCAAACTGCTTCAGCGATGTCTTCTTGGTTCGATGCATCCTACGTTTGCTGTGTTCATTCATTTTAAGAGCTAGTTTTGTCAAAGCACTCCGTTTACCTAACTCATCTCGGTTGCTTGACATTCCCTTCTACCTATCGCATCGGCGTGTTTGGTTCATTTACTGACGAGTGCCCGAAGGTGTCCAGACTTTTGCACACAAATAATCCATTTTGCACCACTGCTTATTGTGCTTATGTAGTTGCTTCTCTGGATCGAAGATCTCATCGGAATTTGTAGTCACACGGGGTCCATGGCATTTGGGCATGACCTTTTTGCCACTTGTTTTCAATCATCTTAAGCCGAAATCCTTCCATGTTATTTCCTTACTCTTAACCATCATCATTAACAAGATACAAAAACAGCAATCATTGAAAACTGAAAAACAAACACCCACTCGTCGGTTCGTCCATCAGGAACACCATAATACGAAAGTATACTTTTTGTTTTAGATATCCCCCTATTAACTCCTCTATACTATTTTGGTGGACTGAGTGTTCGCTGAGCTCGGCAGGTTGACTGCAAACGTTTCGTCACCACTCGAGGTGACATCATCAGTGCGCGTGTACTTAGCAGAGTGGCACGTACGAAGTGTCCGTGAGTCTGAGTCAACCTGCCGAGCTCAACGAACACTCAGTCCACCAACTGAACAACCCGACCTACCAACATTTGCTTCCATATCACATACTATTTTCCCAAATTTTATTCTTTGAGCAGCTTGGTATGGCATTGTGCACAGTTCGAGTATTTGTTCCTCCGTCTTTGCTGCATTCGAGGTTCATTCTACGTGGAGGATGCAGTGTTTCTGGAGCCGCAGCCACTTTGTCCTATAACCATTCACCGCCCAAAACTCAGCGTGAGCCCCGCCAGCTGTACGAGTTTCCACAACTCTGGTCCATGGCTGGCCGTTGTATCTGGACTGGGTTTCGTTGGTGCTGGACCCACAAACCCCGGCCACGCTATGGCACTGCAGCTGCTTGCAGATTGGTTGCGTTGCTCCGGAGAGTGGACAGAGAAGTCAGCCGACGGTCTCGGTGTTGTGCGCCTGATGATTCTTGGTGATTCCATCCAACCTTCTGGCACGCCAAACTCATATGGCTCTACAGGCTCAAGCTATCTTACACAACAAGTGAGTCTTATCGCGACCTTCCTCCTGAAATCAAATCCGTTTCTTAGAAAAGTCAGGTCACCTGTCTTAGATGTTACTGCTGTTCTGCTCCGCTCTTCACTATCCTGCAAATATTCTCATTTTAGGCTCGATACCTAACACGCAATACGGAAGCGGATAGTGTCACCGCGATGGCACGATTCGACGCATGGCTTGCTACTCTCCCACTTGGTCCTGGTTACGTACCCTCCTCCTCCTCTCCTTCGAATTCCAGAAATGGTTTGCCAGTCGATGTTCTTCCAGGTCAAATGGATCCCACTCCGCAGTTGTTGCCGCAGCAGCCGATTCACGCCATGACTCTGCCCTTGGCCGTCTCCCGCGCTGGTGGTACCCGACGGGGTGGACTATCTGGAAGAACCAACCCATTCATGATCAAGGTATTCGGTCGAAAGGTTTTGGCCACTTCGGGTCAGGGCATCCTGGATTTGGAATTGTGAGTCGTTAGTAGTGCTCTCCAGTGACTGTTTCCGGGCTTATAAGAACTAGGACTAAATGGTTATAAAGGGCGAAACGCGCTGATTCATTGCATTGATGTCACACTGACAGAGACTTAGATAATCGGTGTCGAGTTTAGTTGAGAAATCTTATCATAAGACTTTGCCAAGGTGTGTCGTGTGTGTCATAGGTAATCAAACACTGCATCATTGCGCTTCCAAAACACCAAGACGAAGTAAAAAGAGGTTTCACGATGAAATCTTTCATCCTCCTTGACTTTCGCAGTTCGAGTCCACCTAATGCGTATGGTGTGTTGTAGCTGAGTCCCATCGAGCGAACAGTGAGCAAATTTGATCCTGATTAGATATGGTCTGCTGAAGTTATTGAGCAGAGACAACAACGGCCGAGTTCCACCTCTCGCATTTTCTCTGTTCAACAACCCACTTAATCTCGCCCGGGTAATGTCATCCACTGGAGACATTTGACGTCCCTCCTGCGCGCCTGACAACTGAGCGAAAGTTGCGTAAACAAATCGTTAGAAAACATCGGATGTTTCAACTGACACATTTCCAAGCACAGTTCCGCCAGTACGGCTTTGTTGTTTTGACTCCAACACCCACTTCAGTTCCTTACCAAAACCCGTTTCCGCACTCCTCTCGAAAGTCGACATGGGGTCCGGGCATCGAATAGCACCTGTTCTTAATGGCTTCTACGCTGTCGTCGTTTTGTTTTGGTGCCTAGGGCTACTTCTTTGTGTTGCTATATCGCAGGTCCCGGCTAACCGCATACTGCAACATCTACCGTACTGCTGGTTGCCTGATTGTTGCCTTAAACCAAGTTGATAAAATCCGCTTAGTGTGTACTTTTCAGTCACAATCGAAACACAATGGTCTGAGCTATCATACGTGGCGCCTTCCCCATAGCCGTACCCGGTAACAGCCCAACAATTTAGACAGATGGAGTTCAAAACCAGAAAACGGTAGAAGCCTCAAGATAGAAGATTGCCTAATGAGGCGATGAACATAAGAGCCTCGCTGCTTCCCAGGTGGACAATCTACTCCGACGCGACCGTGGCCTTCCGTGATTTTTTAAATGACCATTTCACACGTCATCTTTCAATCACTTTGTTGACTAGGCTCATGATGATACACATTCGACAGGACTATAAAGTGCGTAATTCGATCAACAGTCCAAGTTGTTCTGGATCTGTTGCTTAACACTGGTATACCTCCAGAGGCCTACGATTGACTTTGACAGCGCATATCCATCGATCTCCCCGAAGATCCGTGGGTCTTAGTACGCACCAGCAACCACATGGACAGTATTTTGATGTCCTCCATCCTCTATACGACATTTATTGCACGGTGTACATTATTTCTTCGACTGACTAGCCGACATCTCACCTTCCTCACTACTCCGTCTTTGATTGTTCCGTGTACCATGCTAGCTTTTCCGATTTGACCGCTCACTTCACTGCTAAAGCCACCAGAGGTGGACTGACCCACCGTTTTGTGTGACCTCTTCCACACACTGACGATGAACTGTGATCACTCGACTGTGTCATGCAACGCTAGGTCTCCTTCCGAATTTGCATATCTAATAGAAAAAGGAAGACGTCCTCACCCGAGTTGTTCATCCGCAGCCCAGCTTCGTAATAATGGTACCAGCACGGAACTATGTTAGATCTAATTACCTTGCCCCATATCACTGCGCAATTTGTTGGCTCGGTTTGCTGTTCGACGCTCCAATCCCATAGGGGGGGGGGACTGAAACGTATCAACCGAAGGGGATGTTGGCGGTTGACGTGACCAGTCCACTTGCTGTACCACAGCGCACTTATTCTTCACTACGACTTACGTTGTTGCTGTGCAGAGAACTGGGTTATTTCCACAGGTAGCAACCTCCAGCAACAAACTAACGGTTCTAGCCTATGAAATGAATACCACCTTTACATCAGTGAATAGTAGGAGGATTTATGGGTTTTTGTGTGGGTTCGTCACAGATAGACTCAAACAGTCGGACACAACACATCCAGGAAAAGGCAAGACGGCCGTTTCGTCCTATTGGGACTCGTCAGTAGCGCGCACCCGCCGAATCATGCCGGCTTCGAACCCACAACCTTACTATTTCGAGGCAGCGACTTATTCCACTGAGCCATGGGTGACGTCAACGAACCGCCATGACTGATATCTGACTGTGATATAGCGCGGCTCATCCTCTACTATCATGCAAGTTATGAACGTGCAGGTTATAGGGCTGGCACCCCAGAATCATGACTTCCTTTGCAAGCCGCCACCAATCGAGATTGCATGTAAGCTGCTCAGGCAATTACTGATTATTAGTGAGTAGTAGGAGATTTATGGGTTTGTGTGAAGGTTCGTCGCAGTAAACTCAGGCAGGCTCGTAAGACCAAGGTCGTGGGTTTGAATCCGTTAGAATTCGGCGGTTGTGCACTACTGACAAGTCCCAATAAGAGGAAACCGCCGTCTTGTGCTTTCCTTGATGTGTAGTGTCTGTCTGCCTGAGTCTATCTGCGCCGAATCTTCACAAGAACATCCTTTATATATATTGCGTTCTGTTTTCCCGCTTTTATTTACTTTCATTCAACTGCAATACATCCCGCATCGAACGAACGCGCCTAATGATTACATGAGTACATGGGCGTCTTCACAGGGAATATTGCCTTTGACACGATTGACACTGCTTTTTGATTGACAAGCCACTTGTCGCCAGTGATTGTAGGAGTGACCAAACGTCCAAAGCCTCTAGTAAATTATACAGCTGCCACAGCCAGCCGGGATGAACGAATTAAATTCAGGCGTAGTCCAAACAACTGAGCGAACTGCCGTCTACGTAACTTCGCTGATTAAATGACAACTTTCGGTCACAACACAATGAGTTCCCCTACTTTTGGTTGATTAAATCAGAGTCAAGGGCGCCGTTTGTCTTACTACATAAAGCAGCTTCCACTATTTTTGGACGCAACCCAGTCATCCACCGCTGAACCCTTCATATCTGTCTGTTTCGTTGACTTATTTTTGCTGAACGAAACGTTTCTTCTCTGAGGACCGGCTTTGGTGATGCATGCTAAGTGTTGTTAAGTCTTTCGAGTGATGGTCGTGGTACACTGGGGCGATCGCGTTGTTATCCAACTTTTGATAAGTGGATCCCCCGTCCTACTCAGAATAAGCACACGTCATTCAAATCAACGTTGACTTTGTTTTCACCGGTATTGTTCCACACATTTATCTCGCATTGGTCGTGTTAGTGTATTCACTTGAGCTGTTAGGCGGCAGACGAACGGTGTAATGTTGCGTCTTTGTCTGTCACGTCACAATGCCGATCCAATAATCAGAGAGTAGATCAAGAACGGAATAATCAAATAGTCAGTGTGGTTCTTTGAGACCCAATCAAAAGGGTCCCCTGTGGTGCCTGTCGCCAAATCCTCTCTCACGGGACATGTGCGGATAAAGCTAGTGTGGTAGTGAGGCGATTAAAGCAGCAGTGCGGATTTGTTCATTGTGGAGAACAATAACTTGTGTGGCGCCTGCTCCACATCGTGGTCAGATGTCCACGATCGCGTCGTTGAATCTCAACAGACAGTTTTTTTCACACAAAACTTTCATCTAACAATTTTTCGGTCGATAGTTTTGGCTCCAACTGAAGCTGGATTAATTTATCTCAACATTATGGCATGAAGTTTTCACTTAGTATTAAGTGTGAATAAGGAGGAGGAGGAGGACCTGTGAAGATTAGTGTATTTCATACTCTCTCCACAGACGATACGGTTTCTATTCAAGATGAATCTGGTATTCGGATACATAAGACTCAACTAAAAGCACCCTAGTTGGGTAGGTATATCTACTCTCATTGGCTGCTTTTCTGAGTAATTGGGAAGTAGCGGTTGGTTCTGTAAAGCAGAAAGAGTGTTTAAAGTCAACACCCGAAAAGCGATCGAAATAGTCGTCATCGAGCGAGTAGCTCTGCCTGATTGCATCTCTTGCTCCTCATCGACCAATGTTGTTCCTCCTCGTGGTTTACACGGCACTGGTATGCATGGTCTTTTTACATCTACCACAAATTCGACTAAAGACATTTGTGGATAACGTGAATCTACTTTGGTGGGGGGTTTGGCTTCCTTTCATTGTCCCATTTCTCGCTCACCTTGCATGTTTCTCAGCAGTCTCTCTTCTTTGCTTGGTTGCAGTTTGCTCGAGTTCCCCACACTCAGCCATCTTTTCGACCTGTCTTTCGTTGTTGAGCACCAAAGGGATCATGTACCTACCGATAGAAAATCACTCAGTGTACCGGCACCCCGTACCGACACTTCGGTGCCATGTGACCACCACCACAAACCACGCGCTACTGTGAGATCGCCGCATCCACCCAAATTCGAACCGCCGGTGACCTCTGGATTACAAGGCGGATGCCTTATACTAACTGTCCACCAACCGACTGTACCTTTTGACAAACTGACAATGTGATTTATGGTTACCCTAATTGTTTTAAGTGTTCTGAGCAAATCGGCTCGCAAACAGGTCGCTTATCTACTCCTCGATCAGATGATTCAAGCGTCCGACTCCAAAGGTTCGAACCTGTGTATATGCAGTACCGCTGTCCCTCATACCAGCGAGACCTCTGTACAAGGTCGCATCATACAACTAATACCCACTCCCTTTGATAGTGGAAGGAGGCGTGTAGCGTGTTAGGAATCAGAACGAACACTGAGCAACCATCATAAATCTGTCGATAGTGGACAGATCTTTTTATTTTGCACATAAATTCCAATCACCATCTCATTGTAGCACATTGTCACTAGCTATTTCATGCCAGTCAGCCGTTTGAGTTCCTCAACCCGCGCTCGCCGTTCGCTGGCTGCTTTTCGGGCCACTCCCATCTTGGCTGGAACAAGCCATACTTCCATTCGCTGACGACCAAACTTGGTGAAGTCGGTCCGTCTCGACTTCAAGGCTGGGGTTCACGTGACTGAACTTGTGCGTGGCTCAAGATTTTACAGATAGCTCGCGTCTGCTGCCGTCTCCTAGTTGGACTGACTGTTTAACGTGTGTTTGGTGCCGAGTTATCTGCGGTGTAATAGCTGATTACGACTCGGAGCAGTGAAAGCCGCAAGGAAGCTGTGTCGCCGATGCCGCCTTATCTTTGCACTATTGCCAGCTGTTTGTGATGGTATGTTGTTGACAAGGTGTACTCACCTTGACCCTGCATGTTTGCTTAGGGCATTAAGGTTTTTAGGTAAGTCCCTCTTTTATTATTCTTCATCATCTAGGTCATCATGGTTGTATGGCAGCGAAGCATCAGTTCAGTGACTGATCTACTGCTGTTGTTGCTCGCGTTTCGGACCTCAGCGTCCGACGCAGTCTAATCTAACTGGACACAGCTCAACCTGCATCCTCTGAGTGGGTAGATTCGTCACATCTAGACTCAAGCACACAGCCACAACACATGCAGGCAAGCGCTAGATGGCCGTGGCGTCCTATTGGGACTCGTCAGTAGCACGCACCCGCCGAATCCTGCCGGATTCGAACCCATGACCTTATTATTTCGGCCAGCGACTTATGCCACTGAGCCGTGGGCGACGACAGCCGACTGCCATGACTGATATCTGACTGTGATATAGCGCGGCTCATTCTCTACTGTCATGCAATTTATAGACGTGCAGAGGACCAGGCTGGCCCCCAGAGCTACGATTTCCTCTGCAAGTCGCCACCACCAGTCATGGCGGTCTACTGCCTTCACCCATGGCTCACTGACATAAGTCGCGTGGTTCTAATACGGCAGGATTTGGCGGGTGCGCACTACTGACGATTCCCAATAGGACAAAGTGGCCTTCTAGTGCTTTCCTGGATGTGCAGTGGCTGTTTGCCTGAGTCTAGCTGCGACGAATCTTCACAAAAACCCTCCAACCAGTCATTGACCGTTGTGACAAGCGTTGCCCGTTACGACCCGGTAGCCATAGGAGTAGAGGTTTCGACTACTATTCAAATGATTCCGGTTTCGAGGCCTGCTATCTCACCTGAAGAGATCAAATAAGGCTGAAACGCGTTGTGGGCGGGCAACATCCAATTCCCATCTGCTCCGGCTACGGTCCCCTTGATCGCATTGACCAGGGTTCACTTCACTGTGAATCGCGTTCTTCATTGAGATTATGCGTCGCAGTTCATTCACACAATGAGTACTCCAAAATGACCATCCAATCAAGTGTACATCTTGTTTCATTTCATAATGTATTCAGCGTTTTCGTATATCCGGTTTATTCAGAGTCTCTTAAGGAGGTTGCCTTTATGGTCTGTTATTCATCAAACTGGTTGAATATTACCGGAGGTAATGAAGAAAATTACGCGAACTGTAATGTCTCGGCGTTCATTGCCAATTTTTACCAACCCCAGCTGATAACCGTAAAGCGGTCTGTGACGTTCAGGAAGACCAGAGCTGTGTTTGTACTTTTCTGTTGGACAGCACGGCGTCGGCTTATTTATTATTTAAAAGCGTCTTGGGACAATCACAGCCCTCAGGTTAGGCCATTTCGAGGAGCCTCACTGTTTCTTCAATTCTCAAATTCCCAGTTCGGGCACAACTCGCTGCTTTATTCATGCGGATGAGCAGCCTATGCCTGTCAAACCGCTATTTTGCTCTTCACTCTGAATCCAGCATCCCACCAATCACACTTCCGTATACAGTAACACACAAATTTTTGGACTATAGCACTTCCTTTTATTTTTCTTCACGACCCGGACATCTTCCATGTGATTGTGAAGAACTCTGCTTCAACGACAAAACAAAAACAGCAGAACGATTTGGATTACTTTGTGTTAGTTAATTTGTACCCATATTTATTTTAAATATTATGCAATGGCATGAAAAGGATGTAACCATTTTCGATCTGCTCCTTTTAGGGAAGAACTCGCATCATCCAGGAATATACAATTTATTTATTTATTTATTTGTATATCCCATTCCACGCGTCTGTAAACTGGTTGCCTAGTACATGTTAGTAGATCCCTTCTGCAGTTGTTGGCTTGTGAAATCTAGCAACAACATTCGAAATGCGTGCACCATCTTCTCTGCTATGTGTTTTTTCCTGAATCTGTGTCTCTATATACCAGGCTTAGCTACTCATTTCTTACGGCGATTCTTGTAAGGGATTGCTCGCCATGCAGACCAGAGAAAGTGATATGTCGGTGGTATCTTTACTCCAGTTTCCTTGTTTGTGGTGGCATTCCACCTGCTAACCGTAGACCACCTTGTGGGTTTGTGAGATGACCTCACCATTTCGTGCATTCTTATCAATCGGAAACATACAACAGTGAAAGCATATCACCAGATAGGTAGAGATGGGTAGCCAACTATGCCCGTTGTTAGCAGACCTAATCATGGGTATTACTTAAAAATATCCGATAACATCATATGGATTCGGATGTGGACATCGGGCATACGACCAAAACTCTCGACAAAATGCGCCAGAACCTGACAGTGACGCGCGAATCTGAGCAAGACAATTGTCTCACTTATCTAGATGTATTGATTATACGGCGACCAGACGGTTCCACCAGGTCTGTCTACAGGACTTGTCAGTATTTGCATTATACGAGTTTCTCCCCTATTCAACACAAACGTTCGCTCGTCTGGACACTCTTCTATCGGGCCCATATGATCTGCACACCAGACATCATAAAAGCAGAAAGAGATCTCTTCGATACGCTACAATCCAACGGTTACCCGTTGCAGTTTATTAAGTGCCTCAGTGAAAAAACCAAACGAGATCATATCCCATTACTCCTTAAGTAGCCTAACTTCATTGAGCTGTCTTTCAAAGGCGATCACGTTATGAAGGTCACTGGGAAACGAGTAAGTGTTTCACTAAAAATAGCGAGCAATACGTCAGAACTGCGGCTGTTCACATAAACATAACCTATGCTTATCTGTTCGATTAAGACACCGACGACAAAGCGGTTCATGTCCCACTGTCTATACACGCGTTTGTAACTGTGGACAATTACGTTGAGCGCACTGTTCGAAATTTGGGTGTCAGAATTAATGAACACATCCCTCCAAATGATTACTCATCCAGCTGGTGGGGTCGGGTCGGGAAACAGCTGCTTCGGCAGTCGCAAGGCACCTGCCGATCACCGAGTCAGTCCGGATGAGTCGTTCACTGTCCTAATGCGCAATTGGTGACCTCACATTCTTAGATGGCTAGAGACCAACGTTATTGATCGCTTACACCCACCGCTGTGCATTAAAAATCGGTCTAGTGTGATTCCAAGGCTAGACTGGTAACGCAAACGTTTGGTCATCTACGATGTCCTATGATATTGTTGCATGCTTGTACTTGACAATAACGCACAAAATGGCGTCATCTCGCAAATCACGTCTTATTACTTCCTGTTCGCACTTATGAAGGGAAATTCTTGTTTCACCTTGTGATTGCTTACAAAATGCGCTTCCAGTCCGCATTAGTTATCTTGACTTCTGCACAGTGTTATCACGCTGCACCTTCGCGTTACCGGGACGTCTGAGCATTTCTACACCGATTCTGATTTGCATTGCGTTGTCATCTTCATAAATACGAGTAGGTCCGAGGTTTTATATGACCTAGTGCATGTTTTACCATCTCACTATCTTGCCTGGTTCAGCTGCTTTATATGAGAGAGAACAGTTAAAAGTCAGCCAATATAATTTCAGCTCAGTAAACTATATATTATCTTTGCATTGTCATCACAAATATGCGACTTTCCTGATCCACCTGTGATCAGCATTCTGTAAAGTATGCATATAACCGATCATGCCAATATAGGCGTGTCTCGGATCGTCGAGAATAAAAGTTTATTTATTGTTTTCAAACCAAATGCATTGCTCTGGGAATTTTGTCTTCCAGATACAGCGATTTGGAGACTCCCTGCGACCGAATGGAAGCCACTCTGCTTTGGGGCCACTTAGCACCTACTTGCCCTGACACCATACCGGGATACCCAGTGGAGGACGATTTGCTCCTGCTGGCACAGCAGCGCACAGAGAAAGGAGCTCTCAGCTGTTCTCCGGACTATCCGGATATTTATTTGGCCGGTTGCCAACCAGGCACAACTGTTCAATGGCGACGAGCCGCTCTAACATGGCGGCAAAAGATGAGCACTGAACAAGACACTAAAAAGGGTTCTCTTTTGGTTGCTGTTCCCCGATTCTCCCTCTCTTTTTCCTTTGTTCTGGTGCATTTGGAAACCCTCGATTGCCGAGTTATCCGCTTTGACTGCAGTGCGCTGGACAGCGCTGACTAGCGTTTCCGCTAGTCGGACGCACAGTTTTTTTGCATTTACACTTATGGATGTCACTCGTTTGTCATCTTCAGAGCATAACTATGTTTTTTCCCGAAAAATTTGTGGCTACCGTTTTTGCTTTTGGTAGCCACGCAACTGTCGCATTTCATCGAACTCATTCCGAGTAACACGAGAATGACAGGTGCAATATATCATATCAGTTTGCTGTTCCCTTTATCTGCTTGTTCATCAATGTTGCCTGGCAAAGTAAAGAACCGTGCCACCTCACATGCTGCATAGCTATGAGGGTTACGATGGACAGGACCAGGCCACCTTCTATTGACGTGTGGTGATTTTATGTCGATTACGCGCAGTGTGGTTTTATAGCATAGGTGTGCGGGACGTGTCGAAAACGGGCTCTAGTAACCTAAGTTTCTGGTTCATTTCGACTCAATTTATGGACAACTTTTTCAAAGAGGAAGTGTGATGGACTCAGTTGCCTTCTCCCGCGTCTCCATAATAACAGTAATCGTAAAAACAACAGCCGTAAACAGATTGAGTGTACAGGGAATGAGACCTTGAACAGAAGTGAACTGGGAAAATCCACAATCAGGTAAATGATCGCGCCAAAGGCAGATTCAAAATTATCACTGAATTCTCGACTGAGCAAGGCTAGATAAAGTATCTACGTCACAGACGACTCCATGGAGCTTCATTCAGCCGTTTCTCAACGCGGAGTCGTTTAAACGTTGGAAGAGTAACAGGTGTTATCGCATTCGTGGTAAACCAACGAGGCACCATACTACGACACGTCATATTCCTAGTGTATGTATCATGATCTAGTCGCAATCCTGTGATGCTCAGATTAGCTTCGTGGATCCTCGGCTGGCACTGGTGGCATGGTCATTCCTGACCACCTTCTCTGGACAATCTGAATGAAGCGTTTTAGCACAAAACAGGGACTCAGTCACTAGTTGCAATTGCAGTGATGCGTTATTCTAATGATTTGCTATCATTTTGTGCGTCATCTTAGTGAGGTGAACGGAAGATTGGATAACCGGGCAGAATGTCAAAGCACCCCGGGTGTACGGTCGACCAGTTTCGCGATTGGACCAGCTCAGAGTCTAGCATGACAGTACATCTGCTTATGGTAATAACTATATATAGTGTCGGAGGTTGCAAAAGACCCAAGTGGGAGATCATACCCGACTAGTGTGTTTTGAGGTTGGCTTCCGTTTTAAGGAAGATAATCGTCATGCTTCCTGACTCATTAGATCATACTACGTCATTTGAGGAAAGCATGTTTCCTAATGTGTTTCATAGACAACTAGTCCGCCCACAGGGTGAGAGCAGACACACCGGTCACGAGTCATGTCTCAAAAGTCCCCAGCCCATTAAGCATACATTGGGGTGTGTGGACTTCAGTAAGTAAGGCAAGATGAATCAACATCATCCGCTTTAGTCGTCCGTGACCTGGCTTTCTGATGCGCTCGAACTTAATAGCATCAATAATGCGGCATTCTGGACCCGCAGCCTTACCGATCCGTGTCTCAAAGGACAATGCGTCCCGGGTTCGAGCCTGTGGGGGGGGGGGGCGGGCGATCCTCGCAGTATCCTTAACCTACTCGTGACTGGTGCTAGCGAGCCGCGGTACCGCGTACTGATATATATATATATATATATATATATATATATATATATATATATGGGCGGGAGAGCCTATGGTGCGCTGAGGCTGGTGGTGGATAGATCCCGTCAGATGGTCTACCCACTGCTGCTACTGTTGTGCCATGGGCTCATGTACTGGACGCCTCTTCGTGGCGACCGCTGGCTGAAAGTCGGGTTACGCCCTTCTTCCTGCTAAGATCTAGGATACCAATCCGCATGAGTCAGTGAACTGAGCATGTGCCAGACCCGCTGCCTTTCCAGGGCATATTTAATCGAAGGCTTTGGCTGAGGACCCGAGTCGTTCTGCTGTCAGTGGGCGCCCTGCCAGTGTCCTAGTCCATCCTCTTCGGAGGTTAGGAAGTGGTTGATGGCACTCTTCCCGTAAAACCTAGCCATGGGAGACAACAGGTCTACGGGTTATAAGCTCACAACTCGATTGGCGTAAAGCACGGGCTCCACACATTGTCTCTGACGGTGGTAGGCCACCTCCGGGTGTTCAGTGGTTTGTTGTTGCCCGCCTCAAGCCAGGCAGCCCCGGTCAAATTGGTGCAAACCCACCTGCCTCTGGCGGTGGTCGCAGGTGTATCTTACTAAGGTCGCAAAACACATGAACCGTTCCAGTACCTCAAACGCTGCGTGTGACTGACGTCAAACAGATCCCAATCTGTCTCTGCAATCACATTCCCGAGCTGGATCTGCTCCTCACTGCCTTGTGGATCTGGCTACTGAGCCAAAGGCTCCGGGTGGAGTCCCTTAAGCAAACCTCCGAAGCACAACGACCATCTCGCGTGCGATTGCCCACCAATGCAATCGTATGCCTGCGCGCAAAGCACTCAGCATCGGGTGCTGGAACGTGCGCACACTAATGGACCGGAACTCCAGCGAGCGCCTAAAGCGACGCATTGCACTCGTCGCGATGGAACTGGCGCGCTACCACATCGATATTGCGGCGCTCAGTGAAACCCGGCTCGCTAAGCAAGATAAGTTGCATGAAGCAGATGCAAGCTACACATTCTACTGGGTGGGCAACGCCGCCTCAGCACCACGTGAACATGGAGTCCGATTTGCAATATTCGATCGCCAAAATGGCCAGCTGGTGGTTGAGCCGACTGATGCCTGCTCTCTACGATTCGGAAGAGGTAAGTTTGCCATCTTTATAAGCACGTACGGTCAGGCCATGTGTTATCCTGATGACACGCGTGATCAATTCGACACTGAGCTATTTTCCGTGATACGGTCTGTGTCAGGGAGCGACCGACTATTTCTGCTGGGTGATTTTAACGCGTTCTTTGGGTGTGATACATCGGTGTGGACAGATTTCATCGACCAGCATGGCATTAGTTCAGCGACTGCGAACGGTGACAGGCTGCTCTCACTGTGTGCCACTCACGGCCTGACGATCACGAACACTCAGCTTGCAGTGAGTGCGAGTGATACAGCAACTTGAATGCGTCCACGGAGTCGTCACGCTCACCTGCTCGACTATGTCATCGTACGTCAGCGTGAAGTGCGCATGACACGTGTACTGCGTGGAGCTGAGTGGCACTGATCACAAATTGGTGCGCATCAAGCTGTACATATATTTTCGTTAATCAATGTATTGTACTTCCGCCGTGAATCGGTGTAAATTTAACATTCTCTCCCTCGGTACTGTGGCGAAACGTATTGGGCTGGAGAAGGCGATGGCTGCACGACTGTGTGGTGTGGAATGCATAGCCACAGTGGGCGACCTGTGGCACCACATTCGCGACCAGGTGACGGCTGCTGCCGAGGAGCATCGGGCGCGCAAACTGCAAGCAGCCTGATTGGTTTGATGAAAACGCGACGATTGGTGCGTTGGTGTCGGTGAGGAGTGCAGCATTTGCTGCACATGTCGCAGACCTTCGTGACTTGGGGAGAGTAGTTTCACAAATTTCGACGGCGACTGACCCGAGATCTGCGTCGCATTAAAAATGCATTATGTATGGGTTTGGCGAAGCAGATGGAATGCTACACCGAACGCCGCTAACACAAGGAATTCTTTGACTCCTTGAAGGCGGTGTACGGACGGAGATTGGAGCCGTAAAGGATGCTAATCGATGGTAGCTCAGGCGCTACCTGCACACAGACTGCAGACATAATGCAGATCTGGCAAAGACACTTTGACTGTCTCTTGAACAACCGTTCAGAGATCGACTGGCCTACATTGAACGGCCTCAAGCAGCACGATTTGAAGATGAGTCTCGCGGACACTGGGTGAGACGCAGAGAGCATGTGTTTAGCTGCGAAAGGGCAAGTGTGCCGGTGCCGACGGGATCCCGCCTGAAGTATTGAAACACGGCGGACCCGCGTTGGTGACTGCGCTGCACCACTTGGTGCAACGCGTGTGGATTGAGGAGGAGGTGCCTACTGAACTAAAGAATGCCTTTGTGCTGCCACTGTACAAGGGCAAAGGGAGCAAGCATTGTTACAAGAATTATCGTGGCATCAACTTGCTGAGTTGTGTGGGCAAGGTGATTGCCCGAATCCTGCTCAACCGCCTCGTCAGTCAGGTTGTTGAACCTAACGTGGATTCCGTTCCGGTCGTAACACCAACGATATGATTTTTTTGCGGATCGTCAGTTGCAGGAGAAGTGTAGAGAACGACACCAGCCATTGTATTTGCGTTTTGTCGATACGGTGAACCGCGAGTCATTGTGGCTGGTGTTGGGTAAATTTGGTTGTCTAAGTTTGTAAGTTTAATTGGATGTCTGCACAGTGGTATGCGGGTGAGGGTGTAGCTGAGTGGAGAGACTTCGGATGACTTTGTATTTGTCTCTGGTGTGAAGCAAGGCTGTGTCTTAGCTCTTGCTCTGTTTAATATTTATCTTCATGCAATGATGTCTTGTGCTTTTGATGCGGCTTGTACTTACGGTGTTCGTGTGGAGCACCGTATTGATGGTAGGTTGCTGAACATCGGCCGTTTTGGTGCGAGAACCCTAGTCTGTGAGACAACTATCCGTATGTTGCTGTTTGCTGACGAGTGTGCGTTGTTTGCACACAGCGCGGATGAGTTACACCACATGACTAATGCTCTGGTTTCGACAGCGGTCAAATTCGGGTTCACCATCAATACTGGAACAACCATCAGATTACCGTTGGCACGAAGCTGATGATGTACAAATCCATGGTGCTGTCCGTTCTTCTATACGGCAGTGAAACGTGGACGATGTACCGTCGGGATGTGCGATATCTCTAGCGGTTCCATCAACAGTGTCTGCGACGGATTCTGCGCATTGGTTGGTGCGACAGAGTTGCGAACACGAAAGTATTGCGCCGTAGTGGAATGTATGCAGTGGACTGCATACTTTTGCTGAGACACCTTAGGTGACTCGGTCATGTGTGGCGTATGGATTCTACGCGGATAACGAAGCAGCTATTATATACTCAGCTGAGTGTTGGAAAGCGGCATTTTGGGAAACCGAAGCTTCGTTACCAGGATATGGTCAAAGTGAGCCTCACGTTTTAATCTTGATTGCAGGTCATGGGAATCGAAGGCGGTTGATCGGCGTGCATGGCGCGATCTGATTACGTAGGCAACTGCCGAGATGCAGGAGAAAGACCTCATGTATGCAGAAGCGACAAGTGCCGATGGGTTGTAGTCCATCGACATCGAGCACATGGTGCTGTAGCACATGCGGTCGCGAGTGCCTGAGTCGGGCAGGCCTAGTGAACCATGAGCGAGACCCCTCCGGGGCCAAGACCGAAACGACGACGAGTCCTGCACAGAACGTAGGCAGAACCGGCGCAGCGTTTGCACGTGCGCTGCATCCGATTTACTAACCGCGTGCTTACATGCTGAGTCTCTTTATTTCCGGTGGTCGGTTTGCTATATTGTCCTAATGCTATTTTATCTCATAAATGTCTACCGGGACTATCTTCTATAAACTTTCACACGTCCCTTAAACTACTTTGGTTAACATTTTCGCGTTTGTGGCATTTTCTTAAAATATCTTTCCTGACGTCTTGAAATTATGGCGGTTTTGTTGGCAACCAATTTGTCTCATATGCTCAGTTATTGAGAAACTATGTCACCGTATATGCATTAATCGATTTGTTTTATTTAATATCGTCGTTTCAAGTGCTCATGCTAATTGTGGTAAACCTGTGTAAGTTTCGTAGGAAGTAGAAGTCACGATTAAACTCCACACGAAAATCTGCCTCGACGGGGAATCGAACCCCGGTCCACGAATTTCCGGTCCGCTGCTCTACCACTGAGCTACCGAGGGCTGACGATTAGGTGCGCAATTTAATACGTGACTTCTGCTTGGTGCGCGACGTATTGCCAATGAGCTCACAGTAACTGTCCTGGTGTTGCAGATCGGCTCACTCACTCGTCACTTCCCAATGGACCGAATTAACTGTCCTTCTGAAGGCAGATTTTCGTGTGGAGTTTAATCGTGGCTTCTACTTCTTATGAAACTTACATTACTCACAAACATCCTTCATATAAATTTGTGTAACTTTATCACGTGGCATTTTTAAATAACTTTCGGACATTTTGTACTTATCGCGGATTCACTGATAACCAACTTACTTCCTATGCTGATTTAGCGAGCATTTATGTCGTCATATATTTTGTTTGGTTACGTCATTTCGTATGAGTGGCTGTGGTTTGACATCCCCGATGTGGATGCGCTTGATATGCATGTTTCCAAGGTACCTACCTGTCTTTTATCCACTACCTCGTCTATACTGTCTTCAGGAGACAGCTGGTCGTTGCTGGAGGGGACGGAGTGCACGGTCCTCGTAACCGTGTTAGTCTCAAAGAGTGGTTCTACGCACGTGGTTTGTGTGTGGATCAGGCTACGGCCTAACCACCGCCTTCTGTGCGGTTGATTCCCCAAATGCAGCATGCTTGTGTTTGTCTGTGAAGGAGTGTGGGCCGACTCCGTTGATGAAACGTGCCTCCCATCCACACGTCTCTCGGTCATTCCTTCGGGTTTGGACTGGATGTGGGGTGTGTCGGTGGTACAGCGCAAGCCACCCACGGTCCCTCTGTAGGCTCAGGCGTCCTGTGGATGCCCCCGTGGAGGCCACAGCGACAGACAAATCCGGATACGGATGTCCCCAATCCATATATATATGAGGGGTGCTGATATGTTCCAGGCTTTGACCAGAAACAAAATGCTACAGGCATGAAATGGCATTATTTCAACATATTTATCCCTGTGTCTGATACATTTGGTACGGTATATTTGCAGTTCTCCTAGACGACTCAGGTAAAAGTCATTTGTTGTATCACTAACCAGCTATCAGAAATATGTTTGATATCAGTGGAATGTTTTTTAACGCCACCCCTTCAAGTTTGAGAGGAGAGAATATTCTGACGGGGCCAGATCAGGTGAGTGGGAAGGTTGTGGACTAATTGGAAACCCAAGGTGTTCAACTTTGTAGCGTCAACTCGTTTCTGTTTGTGAACAATAAATAAAACATTTTGACACCCACTTTGACGAAAGCTTACGCGTGTCCACGACAGTAAAAATAACAGAGCCAACTCACTCTCATGAGATGTCTAGTGTTTGAGCAATTGTGTTAGCTGATATTCGCCGGTTCTCCATACTCAGTTCATGGACAGCTTCGCAGATTGCTGGGTTGGTTGAGGTTTGGGGACGCCCACTACAGGGCTCATCTTGAATGCTAAAATGACCATTCTTAAAACGAAATATCCAGGTTTTAATAATGCTGTAGGAAGGACACAGTGTTTATAGCATCTCATTATGAATTTCTTTTGCGAACTTTTTATGGAGACACGAAAACTTAGTGAGGGCCTACTACTCAAACGACATGGAACTGGCCTCTGCCATCACAGCTTCTGCCTAGAAAATAACCATTTTGTTGGAATCGCACACACCTGCTATTTGCACAGTTAGATATTAACATAAAGTCTCATGTGTCCCGGCACTTTTTTCTATTTTGTCTAGAAGGGAGCAAAGCCAGAAATTCATCAGCAACCCCTCGTATATACGACTGAGAGGAATCCGTTTCCGGCGCCAGGACTGTCGCAGTGGCTTCAAGTTTCGAACTGTGCAAACTGATTTCAGCAGTCGCGCGCCCGTCACCAAGATGGATGAATTGAACAAGTACTATCACTGTCGAGTCAGACAGTAGGCTAGCGGTCCCACAACAGCACGTTGCGGGTCATCGGGGATGCAAAGTACATTACGGAGTTTGTCAAGGGATGACTGGCGCCCCGCGGTTGTCAAACGATGATAGGTCATCTGTGTAATCCGCATAAACCGTCGTTTGCACAGTGTGACGCTATAAGACTCAGTACGCGATCTAACCTAATGGATATTAGGAAATAGGCGAACCCGCCTTGCATTCAGAAAGGTGCACAACTTTCCGTAGATCCTGAAATGAGCTATTTTTGAGTGTTGACCTTGTAAAATGTTCTCATACTTAACGGAGATGACGGTGCAATCGATTATGTCGAACGCTTTCTTAGAATCAGAGCTCGCCATGCTGCCCTGACGATTAGCGCAAAGCGTAAGCTTAACTAGCGCAAACCCATTCATTTCGAAAACTGAGATGCTCACCCAAGGTTTCCGTCTCTCAGTGAGATAGCGGACGGGAACGGAAACGCAGTCTTATCACTATCTGTTAGCACAACGACCCTGACTGGCCCCTCGAAAATTGCAACGACGATAGAATCATCCATGTTGGCTGGGCTAGCCACCTCCTCCTAGGACACTTCGCATGGATGAGTTTTTCCAAATGATCTCATTAACATTCGGTTGCGCGGCACGAGCGAGCAATGGGGAAACGGTTTGAAGCCGTGATTTTGTTTCGAATCAAGGTTCACGGTGAAACAAACCGGTTATGGTTCAAACTGCGCATCTGAGAACAGATCGGCTGATCCTGTAGGTACCCCGCAAAATGAACCTTATCGTGAATTATCTCGGTGGTACTGTTCCTAATTGTTCAGTGGATGGATGACAGCATGAGACCGGTGGCACGTATCAGTTGAAAGAGCCTGTGGAAACTACTCTCTCCATTTCATGAGTGCTTTAACACACCAGACCTCTTAGCTCCAATGCGAGAATTCTTCCGGACTCTGGTAGGTCTATCGACATTTCGCATGTTCGATGTCTTGAAAGAAAAGCAGAACATCAGCAGTACGGCGGTACGCAGTACCGACGCTTCGCTGCGGCGTAACCACCACAAGTCGCACGTGGGCCAAGGATACTGCGGGGGTCGCCCGGTCCCCTACTCAGACTCCAACTCGCGCCCTCGGATCATAAGGCAGACTTGTGATCCTTAAGGCTACGAGCCGGTGTTTCCTACGGCGATGACCTATAATAGCGTAAGCAGAAGTTCCCGCACCAATCATACCAGTCTAGAAATTGCTATGCCGCAATTTCATGTTCTCGCCGCAAACAAGTCGGCGAACTACAGGGATCAGACGCTTTTAGGTCATCTCAAGAAATAGGTGCCACGCGGGCTGGATACAACCGCACATCGTATGGAAACTCCATTACGAGTTAGGTGTCCAACCGAAAGCTTTTGGTTTCACGAGATCTCTTTAAGTGTCTTAAGGGTTTGTTGGTGGGGTCAGTTTGCGATGCGTAATCTCGATGTGGACCGTGATTCGCATTGAAGTAAATCTTAGAGGGAAGGGGTTGGCGAACGCTGTCTGAGTGAATAAGCCACATCATAGTAAGTCGTTTATTTGCTGTACAAATCACGCGCACAAAACAGATTCCAAGGAATCTAGAAGAAAGAGATCGCACAGATTGGCTCAAAACCACTGCTGTCATGCACTCAGTAACACATATTGCAAGCGAAGGTCGAGCAAGGTAGATTGTCAAAGGAGTGCTTAACGTTTGTGTGTGTGTATCCGGCGTGGGGGAGACCGGGATAATTGAAAATAACATGGGTAACTGTATGCACATTCTCCGGAAGTTTGTGGAGTGGGGGGGATAACTGAAATCGGACATGGGGACCCGGATACGAAGCGATAGTAGAGGCGAGGGAACTGTGCTGAGAATACACACACGGGTGTATAATCGTGAGAGTCGATTACGCACGATCGAAACTCAGACAACCACCCATGTTCCGGAAACGGAGCGCGGTTTGTTTGAGTGTGCATCGGAGAGGATTATGCGCCCAGTGTAACCAACAGAGGGAACCTCTAAGCCGGTGTTGCATGCAAAATGCAATTACGGAAATGATCATCAATATGGCAACTACGTTAATTGGACAGTGGGGGAAGATAGGCTGCGAGCAACATCGCAAAAATCGATATGAAGAAAGCCGACCTGATCTGGATCTGGTGGTGTGTGTGTGTGTGTAGGGTGGCTGAAAAACATGTGACCACTCGCGTGAAGCGAAACGGATTTCGGTCGTGCAGCAGAGAATAAATACTATTACATTGTCCATATATACGAAAAAGATGTACTCCAAAGAGGTGGGGCGTTGATAAAATCATCCTAGGCGCGCGCGTCTATAACTGTAGTAAATGTGGATCTGTTACACGGGATTGGAAGAGTCCGGTGGCACGATTGGTTGTGGGATAGGGGATCAGAGGAAGTTGCGGAGAGCTACCAATGGATACCACTGAGCGTCATCATTGACACTTGGGGTGGACCGGATCGGGTGTTTGAGAAGAAAACCTAAAATGGGAGAACATCATATCCTGAAATGCGTATGCATTCGGAATATGCAGAATACCCAAGATGAACGAAAAACAGATGTGGATCAGCCGGTACGCATTCGAGCATAGGGGTTATTGTACCCAGTTAAATTCGGTTAGACAACAGTGTTGGAGTGCGGTGGACCAAGCTGCGCGATAATAAAACCTAGCGAACACGCAAGAAGAGCGGAAAACGCCATCGGAACGTCGTGTTGAATAAGGTGGAAGGACTGGGAGTTGGAGACGACAAATCGAGTGCAAAAACGTCACAGAGTTCGCGACCGTGACATGCTCGATGAAATTTCCAACTACTTATGTGGCTGATTTCGAGGTCCTCCTCATGCAACGATTGCTGCCTCTTGGTTAATGCAATCTCAACGCCTGGTCCCCTGGGGGAGTCACCCGACCAGACGAAACAGCTAGAATCTTCTCAGTGCAGCGGGTTCACGCATCGTAATCACGACGACGACAGGAGGGTGATCATGTTGAGAAAAGAACAGGACAGCGCGATTTATGCAATAAACCAGAAGAATACAAGGGTTCAGAAGGAAGATAAATAAAGCTGTGGCAAGAGGAGAGCAGAAACGGAACTCGCGGCTATGCCATGCTCGAAGGCGCATCTAGCTGTGAGGTGATCGAATCCGGTTGGCGTTTCACGGCCTTATTTGACTAAGCGAAAGGTCGGTAAACAGCACACACAAGAGGGGCTGGCTGAGACGGCTTGAGCGAACTAGTGCATACAATTCAGTGCGGAGTGCACAAGATGTCTCTGAACAGGCTGGTGCGCATAAGCATCGTTCATTGGTTGGTCCCACAGAAAAAGGGAAACGCGTGACAGATACCAGTGATCAGAGATTATCTGTTTCCCAACGCAAATTGACTACAGGATTGGAACAATGCATGCCACATTGCGGTATTGTAAGCTTTTCGTTCCACCGATAATATGACTTTTCGTCATCTGCATGGCTGACTGGGGCATCAAATAGCTACGGTAGCCAGGTGGATCGGAACAGACGAGGGGTGTATGCATCTAACCTTGGTGCAGTGAATACCAGCCATGCGGAGAGAAGTTGAACAACAGTCCAGTTACTTTGAAAAGGCGGGCAGAAAGCCAATCGGCATCGTCACTGTCGTTGATGCTGCTGGCATCACCGACGGCACCGAGTTAGTTTCACTGGTACTGCGTAAATCAATTAAGTCATATGGGTAAATAGTAGAGGCAGACAAATGAGCGACCAAAAGTGTTCGCAGCCCGAAATGCCAAATGATCAAGACCGATAGGCTTAATGTAACGCGAGGCCAATAAATTCTCGGGCGTAGTGGTGGACCATGTCGCAGTGTCTGCTACTTTCACAAGTGATCCAAACGGATTTCGACACCGGCTATGGACCAGCACCCCTTAATGCAGCAAACGGTACTATGACGCATACACATCGGCGGCCAAATGGCATACACAGCTTGGAGAGCCCAGATCCAGAAACCCTAGCAGAGATGCTACACTGCTGCGTTCAAGCCTCAACCGCGACGGGTGACTAGGAGTGTGTTATGGATTTGCTTCCTCTCTCCCAAAAATGTAGGAAAACACAGCGGACAGTATCGCTGCCTAACGGTAACCTAATGATGATGTGTTGCATCCTGAGAATGCCCAAAATAAGGTGATGAGTATTACGGCGGAATGCTTTTCCTGTTCCCAAGTGTGCTGATTGTGGATAGCTCCTCTAATAAACCGTTTCTGTCCCCTCTCCCCATTATTATAACACCAACCTAATGACACAGTAATCCACAAATATTACGTATTCATTGTGAGAAAACATTACATAAACTGGTCATGCGCCCTCCAATCATTGCTGTGAAGTCTGGATAGTTATAGCTACATCTTACTTCTTGAAAGCAGACATCATGGTGAGTCTGAGTGCGTAGTCCACACGTTCTCATCGATCCGTTGGAGAGATAGTTATGTCGGTATTGCAAATACGCAGACCAACTGTAATACGATCCTGTGGTGTGGCGGCTGCTTAACATCCCTATTTCACAGACCCTAATGATCGGAATTTCCACCCTTGGTCCCATTGGGTTGTAGTAACACAAGTAAGTTGAAGTTTGGAAGACAGAGCCTGATAAACCAGGATAGATACTTTCGAACATGGTTCTGGTAGAAATGAGTTTGCTATTGATTTGACGCTTGAGCTCACGTGATCGATCAACGTACGCTATCTAGGCATCGAGATCCTTTGTTTTACGTGTTGGTGCGGTTTCCTAGATCTAACGGACGCCAATTATTTGACTGAACATGTCTGGTTGGCATCAATCATTGTGCATCCAAGGTGTTTGGACAATATGAAAAGTGCCAACGCACAATCAGCTGTGTTGCACGACATACGATTGGGTGCGACAATACCCCCATTCGCCATTGTGCCACAACAAACAGTGTTGCAGCGAGTCTACCTCAACCGCCTGGTGGGTGTGCCGCTCAGGTTGGTTCGCCGGCGCGAATGCGTTATTCTCATTGACCGAGCGCCCACCGGTTTCCCCGTTGTGTACAATATGTATTTTGCATGCGCACTCACACAGACAGACCCACGGCACATTTGCCAGCTCGATTCATGCCCCCATTCTGGTACCGAATGTGGCCAACCGAGTTAGGCGCCAAATGGGGATAGCGTGCGTGTGTTACCGCGTTCGTTATCGTTTTCAACACACATACACTAAGACAGACGTTCTTTCGTCATAATGGAGCTAGCGCGGCCAACAGCCTACGTACATGCGCTAGTGTATATGTTAAATGTCCTTCTTCGTGCCACCAACTGATTGATTCTCTTTGCGCCCACCTACTGCGAATTCCATCCTTGCTTGACTGTAGTGACAACGGCGATCCTCTCCACCCAGTTCTTTGCTTGCATCCGAAATAACACATCAACTTTTTCATATGTAACCAGTTATTTTACTCTCCACCCACTATCGTTTCCCATTGTCATGGCGGTGTGATTAAGTCACTTGGTCCTGGGGTGTTCGTAGACGGACTACCGTGAATGTAAAGGGCAGAGAAAAGTATCACAAGCGTATGCCAACAATTAGAATACCCACCGAATCGCAAATTCACATAATGTCCAGTTGAACTACCACCCACGTTTATCAGGTTTGAATCATTTCAGGGATTCAATGCACATGACAACTACAGGACTATGTGGCTGAGATGTCGCGTTTTACGCGTACGTTGTAAGTATAAATCACACGAAAGAATAAAGTTGAGGGCGTCCTCCATGGGTCTAAAGTTGGTGTGCATCGTGGCTCGCAGTTCAGAGTAGAACCTTCGTAAGTTGGCCACTCAAGAGACTGGACCAAGATGATTACTACACACAGATTTAGATCCATGAGGTTAACGTGATGAATGTTCAAGCAATGACAAATAAAACAGTCAACTTAGAGTAGTCGACGTGGGAGGTTTTACTATAGCGAAGAATCGAGCGTTTCCATGGTGGATAGAATGTGCCAACTCGTAACTTCCATCAGAAAGACAACAGGTGAGTGTAGAGAGAGAGTCGGCTTCGAGCCAACTGGATCCACATCCACAGGAGCGCCTATCACAATCGATCTGGTTTACGGAGTACCCGTGTCATGTAAGCAGGTGTTTCTTCCCCAAGCACTGTAGTATATGGAAACAAATACGCACCTGGTAAACGATCGGTATATGGCGCTTCCTGCTGGAAACTGACACAAGAGAACATCCGCTGTTTACACCGAACGCACCTATGCGATAAAGTAACGAGGTGATTAAGCAACAACGCACCTTGTCATTCCGCTCGCACAAAAATTTGAACTTCTGTTCCCGTTTGTGCATGAAAACGCCATCCAAGTGGCCAGTCTCCGCAGAACGCACTTCAATCGCCTTCAAGCCCCACCCGAGGAGCTGCCCGGTCGAGATGTAGGCAACGGAGGTGGGGACCTCACCCCACTGGATGACCACATTCTTGGTTAGCTTGCCAGAAGTGTCCACATAGACACCCTCGGCTGTGCAACAGCAAAAAGGGAAAAGAGGAATCTTTTTAAGTTCAGACAATGGGATGACAAGCATGAGATAGGATGATCGTCCAAAATGTGGAATGCAGATTTTGGAAGCACTATGGATAAGTTAAGAACAAATTAACAGGATGTTAAGTGAGGGATTAGAAGTGAAAATCAATTAAGAATCAGCTCAGCAGGACAGACACACTTAGGGCGGGAATTCATCACGAAACCAGGGTCCATTATGCCGTGTTGTAAGCGGAAACCAGCCTACGAGAGATGACGGCGACTCATACTTGGGCATAAATATAATGCCACAAGATGAATCGCCAATCGAAAAGCCTACCTTATGCACGAGAATAATATGCTGAGAGTGGGAAATAAACTATTATGTCATAGATGATGATGACGATGTGGCCAAACTCGTTGCGGACGCCGTCCCCCTTATCTCGTGGTACCAACGGCAACGTCGCAAGTGAGAACACCGTGGGAACTCATAAGGACACACACGTTTATATATGAACGACAAAAATAGCAAAACGGCCGCATTACACAGCCCCGAAGACAAAAAATAATGATGAATCTGATAGTAGGCGCCCTTTTAAGTTACAATGTGAAATATTTCACACTTTTCCGTTATGCGAATTTTAAATCAGCAGACAAACGAATCTGATCGCGGAGGGGGGGAGAGAAGGCTGGATGAATGACGTTGCACACCAGGTGAAGATGATGTGAGCAAGACAGGAAAACACTCACGGCACGGCTTATCGACAAATGACGAAAAAGTGGCTAATTCAATTTGACGACACGCTACAACATTGCCAGGCGGGACATTTAGAAGTTACCGTTGTAATTTTCAGCATAGTAGTGTCTCACGCAAATTATGCGAATTTCGTGCATTTTCGTCTTTTTTTACCTTTAGCTTCACTCCTGTTGTGGACATATGTACGGCAATATTCCTCTGATTGATCAGAAAGTGGTGATAGTTTGTAAATTCGAGCAAATGAAAAATGTGATCGCAAAGTCAGGAGCATCATTGAGTTAGTTTTCGATGGAAGAGTCGGAAGACGAAATTAGCGAAGGTCAGTTTCCAACAGGACTGGTTAGCTGAACAATCTCCTCGTGGTGCCAGCTGGGTGGTTCGGGTTTAACCGTTCCAGCAAATAGTTCGGTGGCAGTGTTTTAAGACGTGGTGGGTTTTTGCCTGGCAAGCGTTCTCTCTATGAAAATCCACACATGGCCGTTCAACAACACTGTGATGTGGCGGATGTGACTCGCCACAAACTAAAGTCATTGCCTCGTGGATATCCGGATAATGCTATCCAACCCACCGACATCATTCGTTTATTCTTACATTCCGGACGATATCAAACAGTCAAAAAAGCAGCAACACACTTACAAGCTACACAGCTACATACATAACAATTGGCTGGCGGCATCCGGTTTCGGATTTGCCTGTCACTGTGGCAAGCTACAGGACGCCTGCGCCTACAGAGGGACCATGGGTGGCTTGCGCTGCACCACCCACAGCTCCAACCACACACCCCATATCCAGTGTAAACCCGAAGGAATAAGACCGGGAGGCATGCGGATGGGAGCCACGTTTCATCAACGGAGCCGGCCCACACTCGTTCACAGACAAACACAAGCACACTGTAGTTGGGGAATCAATCGCACACAAGGCGGTGGCTAGACCGTAGTCCGCTCCACCCTGAGAGCGTGGAAACACTCTTCGAGGCTAGCACGACCACAAGGGCCGTGCACCCCGTCCCCTCCAGCAACGACCAACTGTCTCCTGGAGCCAGTATGGACGAGGTAATGGGTAGTAGACAGGAAGGCACCTTGTGAACATGCACATCAAGCGCAGCCACACCTGGGATGTCAAACAACAGCCAATCATTCGAAATGCCGATATCAAATAAAAGATACTGAATAAAGTATACGTATATGACGACATAAATACTCGCTAAATTAGCATATGGAGTAAATTGGCTATAAGCGAATCTGCGATAAGTACAAAATGTCCGAAAGTTATTTTAAAAATGCCACGTGGTAAAGTTACGCAAGTCTACCACAATTAGCATGAGCGACGTGTGCAAGTTAGGAGAAGAGTATCACGTACGCAGAACAAACCAAATGAAGTGGAATGAATTTTATCCACATTAAAAAGACGTAGTTTAAGTGTAAATTGATTTAGCCCAACTGCGATGAAGAAGCCAGATGAATGCAACATCAGCCTCAGCATGGGGCACATGGTTGGCGGCATCCGGTTTCGGATTTGCCTGTCACTGTGGCAAGCCACAGGACGCCTGCGCCTACAGAGGGACCATGGGTGGCTTGCGCTGCACCACACACAGCTCCAACCACATACCCCATATCCAGTGTAAACCCGAAGGAATAAGACCGGGAGGCATATGGATGGGAGCCACGTTTCATCAACGGAGCCGGCCCACACTCCATCACAAGCAAACACAAGCACGCTGTATTTGGGGAATCAACCGCACACAAGGCGGTGGCTGGACCGTAGTCCGCTCCACATTGAGTGCATGGAACCACTCTTCGAGGCTACCACGGCCACAAGGACCGTGCACCCCGTCCCCTACCGCAACGACCAACTGTCTCCTGGAGCCAGTGTGGACGAGGTAGTGGGTAATAAACAGGTAGGCACCTTGTCAACATGCACATCAAGCGCGGCCACATCGGGGATATCAAGCAACAGCCAATCACTTGAAACGACAAAATGAAATAAAATAAATCCAATAATGCATACAGATACGGTGGCATAACTCTTCGCTAAATTAGCATATGAAGTAATTTGGTTAGCAATGAATCCGCGACAAGGAAAAAGAATGTCCACAAGTTACTCAAAAATGCTACAAACGCAACAAAATTACCGAAGATAAGCGCAATTAGCCAGCTAATAGAAGACTATCCAGATAGGCAAAACAAACCAAATAAACTGGAATGAAATGTATGCAGCTTAAAGAGACTTAGTTTAAGTGTAAGTTGGTTTAGCCCAACTGCGGTGAAGAAGCATCAAGAATGCAACATCAGCCTCAGCATGGGGCACACACACATAACAATTGCATACGTATATACACACATACACGTACACTAACTGTTAGATAAAACACGTAGTTTTGTACATTTTTGGCCACACTTTCTTAGGTCAAAATGGTCACGCCTATGAAAGTGTGCCTCGCCTTGTCGAGAATAAAAAGGTTATTTATTTAACTTTCTCCGATCAGTAGGGCCCAAACTAAACTAGCGCCTAATTCCACCACTTTGGTACAGAAAGAACGGACGCGAGAATAAAGGTATCATAACTGTATATGAGAATTTGTCGCATTACGGCGCGAAAACTGATGGTATTCACATCGGTGGCTCTCGCTGCAATGGGTCTGATCGTTCAGGAAGCACTGAGAGGCAAAACAGAAGTATCATAGACCGGTGAAGTCCGCGCAAGCTAAACTCAGCGGCATTGTTGCTCGCGTACTGGACCGCTGATTGGCCGAATACAAACCGAAAGTGTTAGGTCACGTCCTTCATCTGCGATTGTCAGAAAAATCCACATGACCATAATAAGCATTTGTTGAGGTTGAAGTTTTTCGTGGACCATATGTCATTGACGAAATTGGAGTGCTAGGCGCACATCTTCCATGACAACGAATGCTGCAATTCCAACTCCCATCAATTTGGTGTGCCTCATGTCTGGAATCAATGTACATTTTGTCATAAACAAAGTACAAGTATTTTATCACACGAAAAAATCCTGCACCAACAGCTCTCGTTAGTGTAACTTAAAGAAGTCATCAGCGAACCTGATGCCAAGCAACTACAACCAGCCGCGCAAGCGAGAGCCGCCAGGTCCCCTACAAAGGTTCTAAGGCGTGACCTTCGGGTTGTAGGGCAGAAACTTTGTCTTTTGGGTCCCGGGCCGGTTACTGTGACATAAAATTATGCCCATTGAGTGCGGCGAAATCAATCAAATGGCAGTGAAAGAAAAACAAAGAAACTATTCAGCCGAGTTCAGTCAACTGGTTCTTCAATGCTCACCAACGAATGGCTATCGATTTTGAAACGAGCAACTAATGAACTACATGAATCTTCGTGTCTAGTTGTGCTTCCCCTTTGAAACCACCTACTTACCGATGGATAGATGTCACTCTCTGTCGTCAAGCATGCGTTTTCAGTGATAAAAGACGAAATAACAGGGTTGCAGTATTTTTGTAAAACGACAACCATTGCGACCGGTGGAAGCTTCTGAAGCAGTTATCTGATGATAGTTCTAATGACCGGACAAGTGTCGTGGAAGTCGACAACCTCTCTGTTAAACAGCTCCGCGTCGTCGCCTATCTGTGCCAGCTCAAGCCCCCATGTGTCGTTGGTCTCAATGTTATCTGTAGAAGTAGCTCAAAGGAGGTTAGAGGTCCAAATAATGATGTAAACCTTGAACACTCAAATGGGCGCATAAAGTGTATTTCGACTTGGCTTCAATAAATTGCAAACGCTAGCAGTGTGAATAAACCCAGATGGTGACATTAACCCTACCAAACTGTTGTACCGATTTTTCCGTAATTTCCGATTCTGCCGCTATTCCGCTGGACCTAATTTTCAGTACTTTACCTAGTACATACAATGTCTTCAAGCTCCATCTTATTCTAGCTACTTGTTTACATGCAAATGATATTTTCTATATCATATTGGTTTTTTCTCTTTAATACTCAGGAGCCCAAGTATAGGGGACAGATTTAGAGCCACAGGACTGGTAGGGTTAAATCGTGAATCCAAGGAGCCAGCATCAGCCAAGCTTCTCCGGTCCGGGAGAGTTGCAAGACCCTTGAAGATAATACTTATAGACTCGAGGATTTCTAGAAAACGCCCAACAATGCTGTATCACGTAAGCTAGTTGGAATTTGGTGAGTAGTAATGGAAGCGCAATTGCGTCCCCTTCCGACCAGAATTGAAAAGTACTAGCACTGCTTTTAAGATCCTCGTAGGGAACAACACCCGAAGTGTGAATCGAACGGTGAATTAGGGAATGAAAACTGAGCAAACCCCGGTCGATGGTAAACCATACGCTCGTCCTACAATTAGTTTACGCTCACCAACACTTCAGCGCTCTCGCTAGCGGAGTGATTGCGTCAACATACGTGTAACATGTAGTCGACAATGCCACAGAATGGCATGAGACGGAAAAGGTTTGAAATATTTAGTATCATCGCCTGTCGAGCCCCACTCTGTGTAACTACAGTGAGGGACCAAAGTTTTTCATAGCGTCCTTCAGATCACGCTGGTTGGAAAAGCCAAAGTATCGGCACAATTCTCGAGGTTCACACGAGTGTAACACATGTCACACACACACACACACAACAGCGGTAGCGAATTGCATGTCGATTTCAAGGTGAATTTAGCCGGTGGGACAGAAACCCAAACACTAAGAGTGCAAAAACTAGTCAAAATGGTATATGCAAAGCTGTCGTGGTTGTGCTTTGATGTTGCGATCAGCCTACCGCCGAAATGTCGAGAGCTCAAATGCCTTTGTGTGGATGGGTGCCGAACTTGTGCGCACTGTTGTAGTGGAACCGCTTCCAGGGTCGAATACATGCACACATACACACCAAACGAAGGATACTTACTGTCATAGCAAAGAAGAAGCTGCAATCCGGCTGTGTTTGGCAGAACCACAATGCAGTGTGGAGTGATCTGAGAACTTGTCTGCAATGAGAAATAGAGAAGAATAGTATTGGTCGAATGTGGGGAATGGTAACAGCAAAGCAGGTTATCAGTGAGCGAGTCGACGCGATATGAATACAAAGGGTATGCGTGGACTCAATGAGAAGGCAACTGAAAGGAAAGGATACAGAAACTGTCAGACAAGCAACAAGATGGATTGGGGAACAATGGAAAATGCCGAGTGTGGACGTCAGTGAGCAAAGCCAAAGGAGGCAGGGTCTTTCGAACTTCGGCACAATCCCACCAGCAAGAAAGCCATGATATGTAAGAATTCTGTGGTTTCGAGCGATCAGATAGTTGCACTCAACAAACAGTGGAAAATAGTAACCTGGCAACCAAAATAACGGCGCGAACCAAAGCAGAGTAGATAGTGTGACCAAACAAGAAGCCAATAGAGCGGGAATAGAAGGACTTCACATAGGAACTCGAAGATGTGTAATGCGCGTTAGAAGAAAGTATTTGTTACGACAAAAAACCTTCCATTCGCACAGAACGATAAGGCAAATGGTGAGGAGAGTGTTGATAGATTGCTTGCACCACACGAAGTGTCAAGGTCTTCACAACCGCATACAAATCATATGTGGCCACAAGACATAATACCGGATGGAAACAGCTCAACTCAACGATACAAATGCATCAATTGAAATCCAATTCGGACCTCCGGAAATCAGATGAATCAAGACCAGAAATCAGTTCAGGGTTAAGAATTCTTTTCGGTAAACTCTCTTCAGACCCAAACGTTTACATAACACTGATTGTGTGGGGTAAGCGTCAAATCGGGCTGGGATTGATTTCTAAAGTGTCAAGATCGATGACTAAATGCGGCTACAGATGGCAAGAAAGTGCACCAAAGAAAACTTAATACACAAGCCTCAGCAGCCTAAAGTAAATAGGTAAGGTCACGAAGGGAATTAAGTAACCATGTCAGTCGGCCACGGTAGTAGTATCGGCCGTATGAATCGTTTATGTACACATAATTCCGGCTTCAGATGGTGGATGTAAATAGCCTCGGCAATAGACAAGATTTGCTTTCGGAAGCCTTGCGAGAAGCGTTCAGGTAGTGAGTAGATGACTTTAAAGTCATTCTCAGATGCAGTATGGCCACTTTCGAGGAGGTGCGACATGATTGAGCTGTCTGAGGACCTCATTTCGCCTTTGTAAAACCACGCCGGGATGTGCTCGCGAATCCTCTGGGATAGACGTCTCGTTGTGCGACCCACGTATCGTGCACCACAGGAGCACGAGTACTGATAAACGAGCATTGAACGGGTCAACGATGGCAGACTATCTTTCAAGGGTTTTGCAAGCAATGGCTTGTTGTGGTAAACAATTCTTAAGCGGGCTGCGAAATAAGTTTTCTCAACAGCATCTTTCAGACGTCGAGATAAGATATCAGCTGCAGTATCGCCCTTAAATGGCAAATGTATGAATAGCTCTTTCTTGGGAGCAATGCTCCTAGGTGGCTTTCGCTTTCGTTCTTTCATATGCTTCATGATAAACTTATCGGGGTAACCATTTTCACGAAGGGCGTCGCTGATTCTCTGTAGCTCTTCGTTGACGGTATCCGGAGTGCAAATACTGCGCGCCCTGAAGGCAAGAGATCGGATTAAACTCCTCTTGTGCTGTAAAGGCACTGCGCTGTGAAAGTTAGTGTACTGTCCGGTCCACGTATGCTTTCTGTGTACCTTTCTGCTACATGAGCCGTCCGAGTTGCGGATGACTTCTACATCCAAGAAAGGTAAACGGTTTTCATTTTCGTGCTCACAGGTGAAGCGTAGATTCTCATGTGCGTCATTAAAGGCCTTCAGCAACTGTTCTGCATGCTTTTCGGATTCGCAAAGCACGAAGGTGTCATCGACATACCGTACGTACATTTCAGTTCCACAGATGTGCGTCCTGAGTGGGCCATGTTCTAATTTCGCCATAAGGATGTCAGCCAACAATGGCCCCAAAGGAGATCCAATGGCCACTCCCTCAATACGACGGTACATCTCACAATTGAATGGGAATTGTACATTCAACGTGCAACGAAATAGTATCTCCTTTAGCACATCCTCCCGAAAGGTAGCGTATATTGGTAGTTGCCGAGTCAACTCGCACACGTAATCCACGGTTTCGAGCAATGGAATGTTTGTAAACAGCGACTGGGCATCAAAAGATATCATCCCTTTGTTAGTAAATTTGAGTCCAGATATCTTCTCAATGAATTCGAAGGAGTCTCTCACGCAGTTAGTGTACCATATCCCGTAACGGTTGCAATTTGTTCATCATCCACTGGGCCAACAAATGCTGGGTAGAACCCACCATGTCCAAGATTGGACGCATTGGGGCGCCTTCCTTGTGAACTTTAGGAAGGCCAGATAATCTCGGTAGGTGTCCACCTGAAGGCTTCAACTTCTCGAATGCGCTCTTTATGATAAGTTCGGCTTGCATCGTTCGCCTGAGGCAGCCGATCAACTGTTTCTCTAACTCCTCTGTGTTGTCCTTTCCGGCCTTAATCTTCTGGAACTTACGTTCGTCACTGAGGATGTGCTGCATTTTACAGATATAATCCACCCTATCTAGTAACAGTATGACGGATCCTTTGTCTGGTCTAGAGATAACTAGTTCGTTGTTCAACCGTAACTCATTAATTGCCTGAATTTGCTCACTTGAAATAATACCATTACCAGATGGTTTAGCCTTAACATATTCATGACAACTATTCACTAGACTAGATGTTAGGTTCTCACCATCACTAGATGTTGGAAACAGGTTTCTAATTTGTACCATTAGGCTTTCAAACTGCACTTCTAAGGTTGCCTGATCTATTTTCTTACATGGAATACAAAACACGGGACCTAATGATAATAATTCCAGCTGTGCCGGGCTTAGTACTACACTGGTAAGGTTGAACACATACCGTTCCGGGTTATTCGGTAAGGTCAATTGTGGGACCTGGTTGTTAAGTGTACTAAGTAATTTCCTTCGCTTTCTTGCTCGCCATTTCAGCTTAACCAATTCTACATATTCCTCAAAAGGCCGTCTAAGATCCCCAGACAAGCCTAACACCGATGGAAACATTTGGGAAATGAATCTCTCCAGCTCCGACAGTTTAACGCGGATGGTGTCCACCTCCGGAAATGTCTCGAACAACCAAGACGAGGACTGCTGCTATAGACATAGAATGCGTTTCGTAAGCTCAACGTTCTCCGATACTCAGTAGTATACGAGCAGGAAGGATGATACACATCCCACGACGGAGAGTGCAGTGTACACACCCAGTTGAGGGTATGCAGGTGGATCTGCAAGTGGCTTGCATAAATCGCACTGATGATGTCGTCTAGCCTGACGATGAAACGTTTGTAGCCAAATCTGTCAGCTCGGAGAACACCTGCATACCCTCATCCGCATTCCGAGCTACAAATATTCTCACGAATTTCTAACACACCCAGTTTTTAAGAAGCCCGGGGGAACTGCACATACCAGATAAAGGGTTAGGGTAAAATAGCCCAGTGGTTGCATGGAAGAACTAGTCGCCGAATTGAAATATTAGGTTGCGATCTCATAAAATACAGATGTCGCCCTACGTGAGTTGGGTGCCGATACGCTTTGCTGGGCTCGAAACCCTATAATCCAGCTCGTGGTTTGCGGTATTGGCAACACTGGTCATTCTGTAGCATGCTGAACTGTGTTAACTATAACCATCCGACCCCCTCTACAATTACGATTTAGTACGTAGGTTCCTCCACCCTTTCCTTTAACGTCCCCTACCTTTGCTCATTTCTAATGTGCCGACGGTTTGATGCGCCGCAATTAGGCCCGTTGTGCTTCGGCACTCGATTCACAGTGGACTAACCCGACCGAATTGAACAGGAGCACAAAATATCAGAAGGAACCAAACACCCTACCGGTCTCGCTGTGCTTCCGCAAACAAGAGGCACCAATATAGTTGCTCCGATGGGTACTGTAACGACCATGTGAGTTGTCAATTTTTTCTATGAAACGAAGACAAAAAAGATACTTGCTTTTAATGTACGGAATGCGGTAGTGTTTAGGACAAAATAGTCAAATCTAACCATTGGGATGTACACCGAAGCCCCTACTCCTAAGCCAGCGAGTCCAGAAAGGCAACACTTACCATTAACCGTTGTGACAAGCGTTGACTGTCACGACCCGGTGGCTAAGGAGTAGAGGTTTCAGTTAACATCCCAATGGCCTCGGGTTCGACGCGTGCGTCCTCTACCTGATGAGGATAAACAAGATCGAAACCTGCCGTGGGGTACAGCGTTCTCAGGAGAGCAACACCAATCACTCATCAGTAACGGTCCCAGTGATCGACTCGATTAAGGTTCACTTCAATACAAATCGCGGTTCACATTGAGATTGTATGTCGCAATTCATTCACGCCAAAGGAGTGCATCAAGATGATTCTTCCAAAAAATCAACTCCTTTTCAGTTTCAATGGGAACACAATGAGATGCGAACATCTTGATTAGGAAGTGAAAACAAACATAGTGAAACATAATCGGTGCTGAGAGTCTAACTCGTAAGAACGAACAGAAGCAATATTTGTTATGAATAACACTAAATGAATTTTGACCAAAGTGGTATGCCAACCTTTCATTGGGAAGAAAGCATGCAAGCTGTGTGCTACAGTTGACCATCGAGCGAGACGAAACGTCGCCATCATGGATACTGATGAAAGTGGGGTCGAAAAATATTGAAGTGATGCTGCAAACTATATGGAAACCAATTATGTACGAAATGAAGAAGCCGCTGGCTGTAGTCGGATACTATCGGGCAATCCTATAATGGCGTAAAGAACCAACCTGGCAGCGGGATAAGCACAATCTTATCTGCTTAGTGTGTTGTCAGTCATATGATCCACGAGACAGTCAAGTGAATGCAGGCGATGGAATGGCCTCGAAAAGCCGATAGAAACAACCGTCGGTAAGCCAAAACGGTCATATTGGCCGCCAAAATGATGAGACCAGGGCAAC